GTTGGCAGTGGGTGGTGATGACTGGTTGCCTTCCTTCTTGTCTTACACTGCTAAATTAGCGACGGCTAGAGCAGATAGCCCTCGTGTAGCTTTGCGCGAAATTCAAAAACAAACAAACAAACCATCAACGGCATAATACTATTGTAATTCAAATAATCGAGTCTATATATTCCGCCGCTCCCCGATGGATTTGCGAACGCCTGTACTGATTATTAAATTTCTCGTCGGTCTGATTCACACCGCCCAATCAGAACTGGAGGTATAGGCGTTTGTGCAGACCTTTCTTTTTATTGGACGTTTATTTACAAAATGGAGGAACACGTTGTAGAAGCAATCAAATTTATCAAGAAAAGAAGAGCACTGTGCAATACGTGTTTACAATTATAAACATTTAACCTGTTGTAAAAAATTTCCAATCATGGCGATAGGTGTTTTTTGTTGTTGCGAGAGTACATACAATCCACAGAGACTCTTAGCATTTCTGATATGGCAATTTTAAGGTACAAAGCATTGAGGCATTAATAAACTTGTTGTACGGACGGTTAATCTCACTTTATTTGAAATAGTGTGTTTATGTTTACATACTACTGCGGATGGAAACCGGGGTGCCACGGGCAACGCGATTAGTGTGTTTATACTTACCCTTTGAATAGTGCTGTACCGCCATGAGTAAACACGTGGTCTTGAAAACTAAAAAGTAGGAGACTTTCCACAGAAAAGTATACACAGAGCGAAATTATAGCATTGACAACTAACTGTGTTAATCACGTTTTATGAGAATGACTGATGCTGTGGCAGTGTTGTCGCAAGTTTGCTAAGGTTCTCTTCGCTATCGTTTGGAACACTTTGTAACAATGGAAGTTGTAGTGTCGGCCAACAATACTTTTAATTAGTAATTGAATTTAATTGTCACACAAGAACAGTTATTGAAAATCGACAGTTTTAAAAATATCGTTAATGTTACATTCATATATATCTGGTTCACGGTAACTTACTGGTCCTTTTGACATTGCAATCCCCTTAGGTAGAATGATAGCTATACAAGAATGTAACACCTTGTATCTCCAGGAATAATTCACATCCGTTTACAAGGAGGTAATACATTGTATCTCCAGGAATAATTCACATCCGTTTACAAGGAGGTAATACCTTGTATCTCCAGGAATAATTCACATCCGTTTACAAGGAGGTAATACCTTGTATCTCCAGGAATAATTCACATCCGTTTACAATGAGGTAATACCTTGTATCTCCAGGAATAATTCACATCCGTTTACAAGGAGGTAATACCTTGTATATCCAGGAATAATTCACATACCGCTTACAAGGAGGTAATACCTTATATCTCCAGGAATAATTCACATCCGTTTACAAGGAGGTAACACCTTATATCTCCAGGAATAATTCACATCCGTTTACAAGGAGATAATACCTTGTATCTCCAGGAATAATTCACATCCGTTTACAAGGAGATAATACCTTGTATCTCCAGGAATAATTCACATCCGTTTACAAGGAGATAATACCTTGTATCTCCAGGAATAATTCACATCCGTTTACAAGGAGGTAACACCTTGTATCTCCAGGAATAATTCACATCCGTTTACAAGGAGGTAACACCTTGTATCTCCAGGAATAATTCACACCTGTTTACAAGGAGGGGTAGTCCTATAGCAAGATGTATAGTCAAAGGAAGCAACCTGCAGTGTTCTCCACGAAGTTGGAAAAACTCCACAGCAGGCATTTAAGACTATAGTGGGGCTCGAAATCCTCACTCCAAGCTGATCCAGAGTAGCATACGTATTCGCAAAATAAAGGCAATTTTTCGACCCCCAAATTCATTACAATTAGGATGGGTGTACCACCTAGTAACGTTAACAAGAGTATAAAATTAACGACTGCTTACAAGCCAAAAGGTCTTACACTTAAAATCAACAGATTTTATCACGAGAAAGAAGGCTGAAGAGACTGGAATCACAGTAGTTCCATCACGTATCTGTCAAGTCTTCCTGTTGAGTTTCAATCTACTTTTATGGCTTTAGTCTGCTTAAAAATGGTCTTTGAAGCAGACGTCCATGGACAGTGGAAGGCTTGTTTAAAGCTTGCCCAAGATGAGTGTTCCAAGTTTGTCCTTGCTGTCATTCGCAGAGTTTTGTTATTACAGAGCCGGGCAACAGTGAATAATGATTACTATTAATTGGAAATTGTATTTAATTGCCTTACATAGTTCTTTATTGAAATCCAACTAAGCTATAAACATCTTAATGTTATTAGGGTTTTGAAAAAAGACATATCACATATATTGATGCATTAGTTGTAGCTTACGCTGTAAATGAATCTACCTGTTAGTTAGTTACGTAACTGAACAGCAAGGTGTTTCGTGCCACTGCTGTGAAACAACAGTTGTACACCTATAAAGTTACTCCACAGTGGAAGAAGTTAATGACTCGTAAAGAGTAGGACGTGTGCGAATCATCGATGCCTAGAGCACGTGGGTTCAAAAAATCAATTAATTGCAAAAATACGAAAGCGCTTCGTTATAAGGTTTCGTATCCATCACTATACGTCATTACGTGCTCTATTTAAACTCCTTGTACCAAAATGCGCGTGACGCGTCAGATCATCTAATACCACGAATACCAATAGCCACAAATATCTTTGCACCGATTACATCTTTGAAAGATGATAATAATGTCCACCCCCGAAGAAGGAAAATATATTATTATACCACAGTAATATAATTTGGGAAAACGGATGTCTCTCTGTCCATTTTGTACGAATATAAAAAAAAAAACGTGAGAAAAATGTTATGTTTTCGTGTGTGGTCTACTAAGGTGTGTGTGTGGCTTACTGAGATCGTCTTTTATGGATGCGTGTACATTTCAAATTTAAAAGTTTTTTCTGCTGCCAAATTTTTAAATCGTATTTTTCATGTAACGCTGTAGGATCAACATGATTTTTTTAAAAGCCAATTTTCAGAGTAATGTTTACGTCGTTTTATGCAAATAAACAATGTATTACATTTTTATATTTTAAAGAAAATGCACATGAAATAAGCATGTTTGAACATGGTTTTAAGTTTCGAATAGGTATGGTGTGTGTCATTAAAAACAATTTTCTTCACAAATTCAATGTTTTGTTGCATTTTGAGGATTTTGTTAACAAGCGGTGATTAATTGAAACTTTTAAAGGAGGGGTGTTATAAAGTTGTTCTGTTGTTAACTAATGCGTAAACCTGGGCGATTAATTAAAACTTAAATGTGGGGTGTTATAAAATTGTTCTGTTGTTAACTAATGCGTAAACATGGGTGATTAATTAACTTTTAAAGGTGGGGTGTTATAAAGTTGTTCTGTTGTTAACTAATGCGTAAACATGGGTGATTAATTAACTTTTAAAGGTGGGGTGTTATAAAGTTGCTTTGTTGTTAACTAATGCGTAAACATGGGTGACTAATTGAAACTTTTAAAGGTGGGGTGTTATAAAGTTGTTAACTAATACGTAAACATGGATGACGAATTAAAACTTTAAAAGGAGGTGTGTTATTAAGTTGTTCTGTTGTTAACTAATGCGTAAACATTGGTAACTAATTAACACTTTTAAATGTGGGATGTTATTAAGTTCTGCTGTTAAGTAATGTGTAAACATGGGTGACTAATTAAAACTTTTAAATGTGGGGTGTTATAAAGTTGTTCTGTTGTTAACTAATGCGTAAACATGGGTGATTAATTAAAACTTTTAAAGGTTGGGGGGGGGGCTACTCACAGTATCCTTAAGGGATTTTCAAGAATTAGAAGAGTATTCCAACCAAACTATATTGTCATATCCATTGCCAACGACGCATTTCGCTCAATTCAGAGCTCGTCAGGCGGCTGGGATACAACACACACAGCAGTGGTCGGGACATTATTCTTGATACAACAGTTGTTATGGTGTGTACGCCTTCTACAAGCTGGTAAAGAATGATTACAATTATATTTATCGTTAGACACCAGTGTTAGGCCTATTACATTTTCAACCACTACAGTCTTTATCTAACCCATTATTATGTTACATTACAACAATATATATATTGTTGAATTTCGACACGTTCTACTAATATAGAGTACCGTTGATTAATACTGGTTTTATTTTAACCAAACGACAGAACTGCTGTTTCAAATGAATGTGCCCTTTATGTGTGGGAACAGGTGGAGGATTGTACAATGGTTCAACGGTCTGTGTACCAGTTAAAATATCAATGTAACGTGCCAAGGGCGACTTTTAAGTCACAGTGATACCTTCAGGCCATATACAGATTTAACGTTCTGCATACGTCTAGTTTCTAATACACGAAATTATCTTACGTTCTGAAACGTTCTTTGTCACCTACTGCGGCTGTTTGATTTTCTAAGCTTCATTTAATATCAACGTAATTTTATTATTGAAATCAAGAAAAGAAGCTAATTCTTGAAGGTTTACCCTGCTTTACAAATTTGTAAACAAAAGATACTTTAAAAGTAGCTGTTGTGGAACTTTCATAATGGCTTATGTTGATATATCCGACATTTTTTATAAGTTTTAGAAAAACAATATTAAACATCAGCAATCAGAGAGATTGCATATATTGGATAACGTAATATGTCACCTTTGAAAACTCAGAAAATCCTTCTCGGATCCAGAATGATCACCGATCCGGATCATTTTTTGTACTGTGATGAGTCTCAGCCTTGATGTGCCCATGAAATTTGGTACAATTCCGATCAAACTTTGCAGAGTTATTAACCGAGAACCGCGAAAATGTCCTATCTCCCCCACTATAAAAAAAAAATGCTTCAAAGTGATCCGGAATCTGGTCCAAATTTGTGGAGGACTGTCCCATACTGACATCCGATCTTGTGTCAAATTTTCGTATACGTCGGTCTATTAGTTTTTGAGATACGCTTGCAGAAACACACACACGGGCCCGATTGGAATACCCTGGCAGGGCGAGGGTAATAGAATATATAAAAACAATTTTACCACTTTTTTCAAACATGATAATGGCAAGAAGACAACATTTAGGGCTTTTGAATCATCTGATTATTGTTGTAACAACATTGTTTATACACCCTTTATAGCTTTTGTATCCTCTAATTATTATTGTAACAACAGTGTTTATTACACTCGTCAGAGCTTCTGAATCATCTGATTATTATTGTAACAACATTGTTTGTACACCATTCATGGCTTTTGTATCCTCTAATTATTATTGTAACAACATTGTTTATTAAACTCGTCAGAGCTTTTGAATCATCTGATTATTATTGTAACAACATTGTTTGTACACCCGTCATGAATTTTGTATCCTCTGATTATTATTGTAACAAC